TCATAATTTGTATCATTTTGTACGCTAGATGTTTCGACTTCCTTCGTCTGTAAGAACTTTGATTATGCATGAAACAAAGATCTTTGTCATGAAAATTTGTGCGTACTTACCCTTTGCTTAGATTTATGAGTCAACTTTCTGATCTGCATGTGTTTCTTAATATTCTTAAAAAATTCAAACGATGTTTTGGAGGAGAGAGTATTTTTCGTTTTACATTCATTTTCATTTGTTTTGACTTTAACTTCTATTAAATCCTCCTTTTTCTTCTGGTTCTCCTCTTTTTTTGATACATTCTCACGTCGTGAATCACGCCACCAAAGAAAATCAAACGTTCTACCATTCAACTTACGTGGTTTCAAGCTTTGGTTCGATGTTTTCGCCGTACATGTTGGTGCAGTCGTGATGAATTCCTCTGACATTTGACTTATCATGTTTCAATATCATGCGGCCCTTCAAACTGGCTCCAAGCTGAAGAATGGATACGCTTCCACTATCTTATCAAAAATTATTTCACACGCCATCTATTTCTTAACTTCTATTCTTTCTTCGTGATTACAAATTTTTTCTCAGAAATTTGAAAAACTTCACTGTAGATTATCGTTTAACATCATTCCAGAAAATTATCCTATTATGCCGCCCAAATGTAGTCCAACATGAGAATGTTTTTGTGTACTTTCGTAAATTTGTATCAAATTATTCCCTACTGCTTTGAAAGATATGTTTTTCCACTAACTTTGTCTAGAAAGTTCCTGTGAACTAGATTATCATTGGTTAAAGTATTTGTTACCAACATAACATGACAGCTAGAAAAAAAGATTAAAATAACTAAACTATAATCTGTCCAGTTAATACTCTGGTCCACGGAATCGCTAGGAAAGACCATCCAGTTGGACGACCAACCAATTTGTGTTGAAAAAAGATCAAGATGGAAGGCAAGAATAGATTTCATTCTGCGAAACAGACAGAGACGACTGAGGAGTTATTCATAATATCTATGTATATATATATATATATATATATATAGCGTTATCATGCGCAGGACGAAACCTCTTACCATCCATTTTGATATTTCTCGATTCAAAAAACAGACGGTTTCGTCAGTGTTTCCAGTTTAGGAGTGTGCAGTAAGCAATACTTATGTGATCGTAGCCCACATTACAGTTTAAGACTATATATTGCCTACATCAGAGATGATGAAAGATCTAGGAATATATTTCTATGTCCATGGAGCGAATCTACTCATTTCTGTATATATGACCGTATTATCCACTAATATAATTAGAATATCTGATCACGTGACCAATTGTGTTTACTTCTTATGACTCAACTCGTTGAATGAAGTACAGATCAGTTAGTTGGTTCAAAAACATTGATGTATTTTCTAAATATCTTATTTTATTTGTATTTTATCAGTATATAATCTGTTTTAAGTACATATATATTCTATTAGAATGAGACGACACAAAGTTAATTGAAAATTAAAGGAACAGTACATTCGTTGTGTATATATTTTCTAACCTCACATGAATTACTCTTGACAGTTAGACACGCTATGAACGAAGAATAAGTTCTACCATTAAATGTTAAAAATTGACTATTAGATATTGAAAAAATGAGTGATTCTGAGAACGAAAATTATGTTACTTTTGGAATCCCTCTTGAACCAATTGATGAAGGTTAGTAAAGATATTTTGGAAGATATAAAAATAAAATATTGATAGTACAGTATATTATTTTCACATGCAATTATTGTAGATAATGTACCAAGGAAGAAACCAATGATGATTGAAGATCAATATGCATATGATGCACAAGGTAGACGTAGATTTCATGGTGCATTTACGGGTGGTTTCTCTGCTGGATACTTTAATACTGTTGGTACAAGAGATGGCTGGAGACCACAACGATTTAAATCTTCTAGAAGTAGCAAAGCTGGAAGTATTACTCAGCGTCCAGAAGATTTTATGGATGAGGAGGATACAAGTGAATTTGGAATTGCACCAACAGGGATTCGTGCTACGGAGGATTATATGGAATGTGGTCGAAGAGGTACAAAACGTGAGAGAATCACTCGTGACAGCAGTGGTCCTATTCCTGGTACTCCAGTATTGAAGGAGCTTTTGAAGCCAGTAAAGTAAGTGTTTCTTTGCTTTTTTATATCATATTAATACCAATAATAAATGTTTGATATAATAGGGAAACAGTTGGTATTATGTTACTAAAGAAGATGGGGTGGAGACCAGGTCAGGGAGTAGGATCAAGACTTACAAAAAAGGAGAAAGCTAAAATTGAAAAAAGGAATGAGAAGCTAAAACATATGCAGCAAGAATCTAGGAAGGCAAGTTCAGAAAATAGCTCTGATGATTCAGAAGATGATTATCAGAATGTTACATTTGCACCTGATGACTATGAGCCATTTAGGTAAATTCAAAATGTTGTATATAATTTTGATAAGCAAAATAAGATACATATATTAACTTTGCTTCATTTCTACAGATGTAACCCAAAAGATAATTATTTTGGCATAGGATACAGTGGTTTAGATAGAAGAACCATATTGTCTGGACATGTAAATTTATTTGAAACTCCAGCATTTAGCATTCAGGATAAGAACAAAAAATTATCGATACATGGACAAGCATTTGGAGTTGGCGCATTCGAAGCCGATGATGAAGATATATACGAGAGAGAAGATATGTCACGTTACGACTTTTCCTTAGGTCCTGAACGGAAAATCAAAACAAGATGGTCTGAGGATAGTAGTTCGAGAAATTTAAGCTACAACTGTTTAGAAGGCTTTGTATTGGCAGAAAATAAATTAGAATTGAAAAAGGTTTTTCCACCTCCGGAATTGCCTAAGAATTTTGTACCAGTACATACAGTTAGGAAGAGCAGATTTTATCCTCCGATTGATAATGTTTCTCGTAGAACAGAGAATGGAAAGCGCAAAGATCTCACAGCCGCGGATAGAGCCAAAATATTGGAAGATACATGCAATGTGAAAAAGACATCCGAAACGCATTCAGATTCGGTACCATCAGTTGCTTCCAATATCATTTCAAAGACGTTAAATTTACGTTGGAAGCAACAAACGGAAGAAAAACAGAAAGAAGAAAATCTACAAGCTAAGGCAGCTGTATCGTGGATGGAAAAATTGAACGCACAAAGTTTTGTTAAAGGAGGCGTCGTTGGACCCAGTAAAAATTCTGATGGAAGTTTAAAAAGATTAGAAGAATTTAAAGATTCCTCCTTGACTTTTGAGGGACAAAGTAAATTGGATCAAGATGATTCTGTGAAGAATAGCAATGTGAAACCATATTTTTCTGATTCTGATAAACAAAGACGATTTGAACAATATTTACTTTTCGTAAAAGAAGGAGAGAAAAATAAGCTTGAAAGTATACAGCCATTATCTATGACAGAATGGGAAAGAGAACATGAACGAATTGAATTCGAACAAGCAGTAAAACTGGTTGGGCAACCAACAAATGAATATACTGGGAGTAAATTTACAAGTGCTTCTGATTCCACGAGTTCAAATATTTCTGCAAAATTTAGCCAGGAGGATGAAATGAAACAAGCTGTAAAAATGAAAATGTTCGGGAAATTAACTCGGGAGCGAATGGAATGGAAGCCAGCGAGCATAGTTTGTAAGAGATTCAATATTCCAGAGCCAAAAGTTGGTTGTGCTCAACCTGAGATGCAGAAAAGGTCAACAAGGTTTTCCATTTTCGATTCCTTTGATTGGAATAATTCTACGAAGTTTTTGCGAGCGTCGCAAGAAGTAAATGAAGCAAGTACATCGTCAAAAGACAAAAGCAGTATTGAAAATACAGGCCAAAACATTATTGACAATACAGAAAAAGGCGCTATTAACAATACGGATTCCAACATTAAAATGAGTAATAATATATCTTTTTATAATCATCAAATTTTCGAACCTGTGTCAGAGAAAATGAGAAATTTCGAAGTTTCTTATGAGAAAGTTTTTGGAAAAGAAGTTCCAGAAACGTCATCGACAATATTCGAAGACAAACAAAATCTGGACAATAACTTTGATTCAAATAGAATAACAGAGACTATAGATCAACAGAATAAAACTGAAGAAGATATCAATACTACAACGAAACCTACATCAAAAAGTAAATCAGAAGAGAAGAAGGATCTTTTTAAAGCAATTTTTTTAAGCAGTAGCGAGGAATCTGATTCCGAGCCAGATGAAAGCTTAGACAGCGAAGCCGTGAAGTCTGTTTTGATTGGTAAAGTTCCAAGCGAAGTAAATGTAAATAGAAACACCTCTCCACCTAGAGGAATTTTTGCAAAGGTCGATCTCGATAGCTTAGTTACTAATACAAAAAGTAGTATGCAATCAAATGAAACAACAAGTAAAGAAAAAGACATAAACATAGTAGATCCTGAATTAGGGATTGAACCCAAAGAAGATGATTCTAATTTCAATCCCCCAGAGGCTCAATTATTATTGGATGTGTATGGACCTGCTCTTCCTTCGAGATTATTAAAATCTGAAAATGCAACCCCAGAAGCATCCAGTTCGCAAGCTTTGAAGCCTGTGTCTAGAAGTGTTGTAGTACCACAACTTAAAGTAGACTCTAAAGTTTCTGGTGTATGGGTGGAGAAAGTGAAGAAATCCAAAAAGGAAAAGAAAAAGCACAAACACAGAGAACACAAAAGTTCGAAACATAAGCGGAAATCAAAGAAAGAAAAGCGTGGCTCGTGACGTAGGAAATAATTGGAATAGCAAAGGAATTACATGAAGAAGATGTCGATGGAGCAAATATATCCGTTAATTATTTATTGTACGTTTCATTTTATTTGCATCATAGTATGGTGCCTTGTATATATTTAATGAAGTATTTGAAAATGCTTGTGCAAATCTGATATTAAGAGAATAAAGGGATGTCGATATGTACATACATGAATACATATATGTACATCCTTTTGTTGTATTCTTTTTTTGTATATGTTCTAATACACACGAGTGAGCAAACCCTTATTTCTGTATTATTCGGTGTTCAGAATTATTTGTTGTCATTACAATTGAATAATAGTATAGTATCTATAATGACATATTTTCCTCGGAATTTATAATCGAATTATTTGTTCGACGTTGTAGAGTTTCTCGATGCTGGCCTACTATGATTCGTAGAACTTATCTTCTTCTCTACACTGAAAATATAAGAACATCGTTACGATTTTATTCAATTAAAATTTTCTACCACTGACTCCAATTTCAGAGTTAATTTCTCCCAAGTAATTCGTATATACATATATATGTATATACTTGTATATGTATATGTATATACTTTTCTATAATTCCATCAATTATTAACAATGCCCGTTTAAAATATAGTAGATTTTTCTCACTATTTAATTTTTTAATTTTTGTTTTAAATAGAAACATACCTGCTGCTTCTTGATCCTCTTTTGAACATGTCTGTTAATTTTTTCTTTAGATTTTTCTTTTCAGTCTTCTCATTGATGCTTGTTTCAGATCCCGATGTCTGCAACAATAAAAAAGGAAATAATTTTAAAGTTATTGTTATAATAGTCTCTTTTAAACAAATAATGGCGTTGTTTACTTACTTGAAGAGAAAGATCCATAGAAATATTTGGATCATCCACACTGGCTGATTTAGTCAATTTAGTTGTAATCTTTTTTATTATACCTTTACTATGCTTTTTTTCTCGCTCCAACATTTCGCTTTTAGTAGAACCGGTAGAGAGGCGACTATGTATTATAAGAAATTTAATTATTAGCTTGTTTTTTTCCTGATGTTCTTAGTCAATAAATATTCAAATTATGCATTAGGAAACAAACAAAATTGAGAGGATGATTATCGAATTACCTGTCAACACTGGAATCTCTCTGCAAACTTTGTGCTCGTCCTTCAGCATCTGAACTTTCTAATGATTGCAAACTGGACATGTTGCTATCAGTGCCCCAAATGCGTGACTATACAATTATGAATGAATAAATGTTAATATCTTTTTAATATATCTATTATCGAAAACTTAACAGCATTAGAACTATAACATACTTCTTCATTTCGTACTGATGTCTGTTCTAAAGATAAACTCTTTCTCTTCAAACGTGGTTTCGAACGAGATGTTGTTATACCTTTCCCCGGGTCACTTTCCACGGATGTTGATCTATAAAATTGATTTACTGTATATGAGTATCATTAAAGAAAACAAATGGTCACTGTTAGTAATAAATACCTCTTGCCAAGTTTCTTCAATCGTGTTGTATTTACTTCGTCCGCAGATTTCTTCGATTCTTTCAGTTCTTTTGCCACATCCATTAATTTTTTAACGGTATACTCTAATTTTTCTGTTCTCTCAACAAATTGGGAATTTGAACCTATTAATAAATTTGACATTATTGATTTGAAGATTGAAATATTTAATAATATTAATAATTACCTCTTATATCGCTTCTCGAATCCGACAGTGGCGATGATTCCCTAGATTTTGGTCCCTATATTACGAAAATAATTATTTATCATATTGATTTAGTTTACTTATTTTTTTTTTATTGAATTTGTAAATTTAATATACCTTTAATCGTCTTGGTGGAGTCGGTGTATAAGTATTTGCAGTTCCATTTTCTGCTATACCGTTCAATTCGGGGAAAAGTTTCATCAAGTCATTGACTTGTTGCATCAATACATTCAGATTTCGTAATTCAATCTGTTCTTGTTTACATTTCTTCAGTATTACATCTTTGAGTTCTTCTCTCTCCTTCTCGTGACGTTCCTTTTCGCGTCTCATTTTTTCGTTACTGGTCCTTAATTTTGCGTGAGCGTCCCTTAATTCGAGCAAATCGCATTGTAACTGAAAAAATGAATATTTTCAAACAACTCAGAATCGGAAGGAAACAGAATGACAATGCAAAATTTTATATTGGTCCTTTTATTTACCTCTAACAATTTCTTCTTGCTTTCTTCTTTCTCTTCATCGTACACCTTTTTCAATTGATCTTGCCGTCTCTTATTCTCCAGCCTTTCCTTGGAACGTTCTCTTTCAATCTACAAAAACATCATTTGTTTAGGCTCTTTATGTTAATAACATTAATTCTAGTTTAACATGTACTTCGAATAGAGTTTGTCGCAAATCCCTCGCCAGTGTAGCGGTCTCTTGCAATAATCTCTGATGCTCCTCTCTTTCTTTTTGCCACGCTAACTCCATACGAACTTTCAGTCCTGGAATCTTCGTTCTACCACTAGTGAGCACTTTCTCTTCTTCGAGCTAAAATTACAAGATAAAAATAAAAAGGAAAAATGAATAGTGTGCAAATGTATTTTAAATCATCGATAAGTTACTGGAGAAAACATTTAAATACCTCGTTAATTCGCGACTGCAGTTCAGATACTTTAACATGACTCGCTGACTTTTCGGATACCAATTCAGCTTTCAATCTGGATGCTTCTAATCTCGCTTCAGAAAGCTCGTCTTCCAAGCTATTAATCTGCGTTTCTAGAACCAATTTACTGGCACCAGATACTTCCTCTTCCTAAAAAATGAGAAATGTTGTATAAATAAAAATGTAAGGATTACTTTTAAATTGAGTTAAAAGTAATCACTCTTGATGTAATATACAAATAGATCCAGGGAAGTGAGCGTAATGTTGGTGGGTAAAAAGAAAAAGATTAAAAATAACCAACCTCGTCAGATTTTCCAGAAGATGCGTTCGACTGTCTACCTCTAGCAGACTTTAATTCCGCGATAGTTTTTTGAGCACCTTCTAACATATGTTTATATGTATCGCGCTCGCGTTTGTACCTAGACAATTGATTTTGAATAGCTTGAATTTCATCGTTGATAGCAGTGATTCTATGCTCATAACGCATTTTGCATTGAGCTAAATCAGCTTTCTTCGCTTTCTCCATGTTTTCAAGGGCGTTTTTCAATTTTCGTATCTCCGACTCCAACGCTGTTGTGTCTGGTGTCAGAGCTTGATGGATCTTTGATACTGCTTCATAGTCCTTCAGTTTGTCAGAAAGGTCGTCGTTCTGCAAAGTATATATTTTAAAACAAAACTTATTACATAATTTGTGCTGTTAAACAAATAATAACTTAATTTATAATAATTTAAATATAACTTAATTTTCTTACCGCTTTTCTTAAATCTTCTAATCGCGTTACTAATGTATTGTTTTCTTTCTTCAAATTGCTTATGTCATTATTCAAATCTGTTATCAATGCTTTGTTTGGCAGCTCACTCTCTCGTATACGATTCTGGAAATTTATATTAAAGATAATTTTTTACAATTAATTAAAGAAAATTGTAGTATTCTTCAAAATAGATTTTAAAATCGCGGATATATTAGTTAATTATATTATTTTATACTCACTTCTAGAGCTGATCTCTCTGATCGCCATTCGCTTTCTTTTATTTTCATTGATTGTCGCATTGATTCCAGTTCTCTACGAATACCTATCAGCTCTATATTTTGCTCTCGTAATTTGCTATATTTAGATATAATATAGAAATAATTAAAAATACTTTGTTTCATTGTAATTAATTAAGCGTATTACCCATTACCTATTAAGCGACTCATTATCCAAATCCAATTGCTTTTTCAAATTCGTCAATTCCTTGTATTTGTCATTCAGATTATCATATTCCAGTTGTCCTTTCTTGAGCTCGTTCTCCAAATCTAAAATATAGGCCACTGTTATCTTATGTAGACTTTTCTGATGTATCTCGTGTCGCCATAGTGAAGTAACTTACTCAGAATCTTTTCATTGTACGTCTGCCTCAATTCATTCATCCGTTTCGTGTTCAATCCTGTTTTCTCCAATGCACTGATCTTCTTTTTCAAGGTAGCTACTTCACTCTCCTTTGATTCTTTCTCTTGATCGACTTGAGATAACAATTTTTCCTTTTCTTTCTTTAATTCCGAGACCTCCCTAGTCAGATCATTTATTTTCGTGGAATTGGAGGTTTTTGTGTTTTCTAATTCCTTCTTCAAGCGTTTTAACTCAGTATCGAGCTTAGTCTTTGTTTGTTCAACCTGCATTATGATATTATGTTAATATCTGTATTAATGGCGTTTTTAATTATTTAATTAATGTAATTTTTATCTAAAAAGGTAGTTACTGATGTCATTGATTGTTTCATTTTCGATTCTCGTTCCGTATATCCTGACAAATCATCTTGTAGCTTCTTCGATTTATCCTTTTCCAAAAGCAATTCTTTCTTCAGATCGTTTATCGTTTTCTCCAACTTTGCACCTTCGTTCTCTGATGTCTTAGCTGTTTCTATACAAAAGTTGGAAGAAAAGAAAAAAGATTAATTAAGAAAATAATTGTTATTGATAGAAAAATTCAGTATTTTATTTATGATAACTTTTTTACCTAGATCCTTTTTCAATTGTACAGTTTCGTTATACACTTTAAGTTTCTCTGCGGATAGAGAGAGAAGCTTCGATTTTAGCTTCTCTTTCTCCTCGAGCAGTGCTGTCTTCTCCTGGTCCCATGTCTTCCTTTCGTTTTCTCTCAATGTCACTGCCTCCTCCAATTTCTTTTTTGCTAAAGTATTTCATACCAGAATAGATTTACTACAAGTGACTTATTCAATACGTTAATACGAACACGTTAATAGGAAAAGTATGTTTAAAATAATCGAAATACTTACTGTTTTGCAAATCCATATTTTTTTCCTCGACTTTAGTACTGAATTTCTTCTTTTCTTTCTCATCTAACAACTCTTTCATAACAGAATCGAGCTTTTCCTTAAGTAATTCATGCTCCTTTGAGAGTTTGTCGTATTTCCCGTGGTTATCCTTGATTTTCATGTCCTGAATGTCCACCTCTTTGCCATCAGAAATATTCGCGAAGACAGTCATCATATCTCCTAAAGAATACAATTCGTTTATTTAATATTATGATTAAGATGGTGAATTTTTCTTCGCTTATTTATATTTTATCTCTAGACTATTCTTAATATTATTATACAAGTAGTGTTTTAGTTTAGAATGAACCTATTTCTTTTTCCATCTCTTCCACCATCTTCTTCAATTGTACTTTAGTTGTAAATTCAGTCGCCTTTTTCAGAGGCCTACTTTGGAATTCTCCTTTAACCTTTTGCAACGTTTCTTCAACTTTCTTCACCTAAAATAAAATATTTTTATTACTAATTTCTCATTTGAGCTTTATACGGAAACTTGCCTCTTCGTATTTCTTTTCCAGAGTAGCTTTCTCAGTTTCTAGTTCTTCCACCTTCCGCTCAACTTTCCTCAGTTTAAACGATAAGATTCGACAATTCTTATTCGACTGTTCCAAACTTTTTCGCAAACGAACGTGCTCGTCCGCTTGCTCATCCCTTAACAACACGAAATACTATTCTTAAGAGTCTCGACGAAATTTCTATCCAAAGACTATAGTATATTGGAACCGGATAAAATCGATTCAATAAAAAATTCCCAAAATGATTACTAGACCGCAGATGTTAATACAAATTTATATTTTCTTTTTAAATATAATTAAAGAAATAAAACCTAAATAGAGATTTGTTTCACCCTATAAATATTATAATCAGTATCTTCCTTTGGATATTTTCCATCTATTTTTTAATATTATAGGCATTCAGTACGCTCCATTACCTAAATTCGTCGATATCGTCATATACAAATTTCAAATTTTAAGACAAGTCTAAATATTTTCAAAAACGATACTCTAGATATTCCAAAGAATATTCAAGTTATTGTATTCAGAAGTTTCAGGATATTTAATTTTCATTTATATAATTTCCAAATAATTTAGATAATTTATTCCATCTATGGGTAATTATTCATATTCTTTTGTAGATTATCCAGTTCCGTGAAGTTCAGTAGCGTGTTATAATTACCTGAGTTAATTGGTCACGTATACATTTAATCAAACGGAAGCCGAAATGCCATTCAGGGTGGGCGTAAGCAGGAGGAAGCGTACGCGTGATAAGTGTACAAAAATCGAAAGGGTTCGACGACAGTATAACGTTCCACATTACTGCTGTCTACGTTAAAAATGCTATTTCATTATACATATATCTCGTTCCTTTGCTCTTAAGATTCATTACATGGGTCTCGCGTTTATTCGCGAACGGTCAAGAATAAAATGTGGTCAAATATGTACTCATTTTACCAAGCAATGAAACGTCCACGTTCGATCCAGCTTTTGGCGAAAAACAGTGCCGTTCTTGTCTTGGAATCATCCGTCCAAATTGACGTCCTGCAACAATTCAGATAGCTCATTTTGCTAAACATTTTTGGGCTGTGTGTCCTTTCTTCGTAGACATTACGTGGTAGAGGCGACAGCTTTAATCAGATATCTCCTTTATTTTGTATCTTTTGCTTAAGCGTTCCTCCTGATTGCGAATCATGAAAAAAATTCGATTTACTTTTCTGACCATTTCATTTGATATCATATCTGTTTTAGATCATTTCTTTCAAACGATTATTCCAATTTAGAATGTTTCTTTGTTTTATCTGCTTCTGGTTCCAGCTGCAGTAAGTGGAAATCCACTGTTTTCGAGCCCCTTCAAGATATTTTCATTTCTGAACACGGTTTCGTGTTTCCTCCAAGTTGATAAACTTTTTCTTTGTTTTTTTTTCTATGACACGATAATATTGTACGAAAATATCTCGTGTCGTATCGTATCGTGCCAATATTGGTCGCGTTTATTAATACAAACAGACATATATGTTATTGATAAACACGAAAAGGATCACAGGTGGGCGAGTCGTAATTCGCTGTTGTGATCAATCAACTTCTGTACTGATTAGTTAATCAATTCGAATTCAAACAAATCAGTTAGTAAAATGCAGTGGAATCTTTATTATCCTATATACGATGATCATTTTATGCTTCAAATATCTATTCTTCGTTTCATAATTATTTAATTTATTTGTTTTTTTTTTCATTAAAATGTTACAAAGATTACACTACGCATGAAATCACAGGGCGTTAAATCGAATTTTTTTTTTTGCTTGAGAATTTCTCTTGAAAGCTTATAAAACTTTACTTCAGTGGTACATACAATAAAAATAATTAAATTATAAACATTTACTTTGATAGTATACAGGTTTGAAACATAGTTTTAAACAATGAAAAGAGTATTATTATGAACTGAAAAAGAAGCCACGGTAAACATGCACATAGAAAAGATGTACTTATATTTGAAGATAAGAAAATGTAAAATTACCTAAACGTATCTTGTAGTTCGTATATCTCTTCCTCCAATTGCCGTATTTCTTTCTTCATATCTTCGTTGTCATCCATCAAACTCTCGCATAAATTCTCTGCTGCCTTCAATTTCGAACGTAGCTCGTCCTTTTCCCGGTCTCGTTCCCCTCTAAACGTTTTCGAGTTCACTTCTTTCTCCAGGTCCCTTATCTTGGTCAATAAACTGTTCTTTTCTTGCGTAAGCGCTGAATATTATTAATATTATTATCATTTCTCAAGTAATTGAATTATCCAGAATTGAAAGTCCACAGATTAAACTAGCAGTGGAGAAAATAATTAACAATAATTTACTGTTTACTATAACAAAAACACTTCCAAATTGTAAATTTCAAATTGTTAAATATTAGTTTTTATTGTATTAGCAAATTTCCAAAAGCATTTCTAAAAATTTCTCCATTTCTTATCATAAATTTTGTAAAAATGTATATTTTCTAATTTTTATATATTTGTCGGGTGTACATTAGAATTAGGGCGTAAAGCGAATCTTCGTTTGGATTACACGTCGTCGTTATGCAATAGAGAAGACATTGGCTAGTGCAAATACGATTACCATAGAACCGGACAAGTAACCGTGGTAATTAGATACTCGAGAGACTAATGACAATGATCCTAGGTTCAATAACGAATCCGCGGACAACGGGACGGTAGTCGCACGCACTCGCAAAATCTAAGTCGGATTCTGTGTTAATATTCGCTGACCGTAAGGAGT